CGTATAAACAAACAACCAATTTACATAATTAGAATACCAAGTAAAAGTATAAATTCAACAAGAAAAGCAATTAATAAAATATTATGCTTATCCATTGTATTATGTTGATATCTCTTAATAATAAATGTAAAACAAAATAGACGAAGCAGAGAACATAACAACAATAAGAAAAAAACCAGACTTTTATTATCATTTGCTTTCATAGAGGTCATGCAAAATCCAATGAAACAGTTTTAATTCATGGTGCTAGTGGAGGAGTAAGTTAATCGAAAGAACTAAATATGGTTGACTAATAGATTAACATGAATTTTATTTTTAATAAAACAGGTTGGTATTGCAGCTGTACAATTGGCAAAATCACTTGGTTTACGTGTTATTGGTACAGCATCTACTGAACAAGGTTTGCAAGCAGTACATAATCAAGGTGCTGATCTTGTATTCAATCATAAACAAGAAGGATATCTTAAAGATATCGCAGTAGGATATTTTTTTTTCTATTCTTAAATATATTTCATATACCGAATGATTTAATAGAACACTTCAATAAATAATGGAGGAGTTGATTTAATAATTGAAATGTTAGCAAATGTTAATTTAAATAATGATTTGCAATTGCTTAGATCGCATGTTGGTCGTGTTGTTGTTGTCGGTAATCGTGGTACAATTGATATTAATCCTCGACTTTTAATGATGAAAGAAACAAGTGTCCATGGTGTTAGTTTATTTAGTTCAAGTGAAGTAAGATAGACAAATTATGATTATGATTATGATTATTATTATTTATTGTTCTATTAAAATAGGATGAAATTCAAATGATAAATGCTTATTTACAATTTGGTCTTAAAAATGGTATTTTAAAACCACTTCTCGGTCAAACATATCCATTAGAACAAGCAGCACAAGCTCATACAGATGTTGTTTTTAATAGTGGTGCATGTGGAAGACTTACACTTAAAATATAAAATAATTATATAGAGTTACTTTATTTTTTTTTTTAAATATTCTTTTTATATCGATAGAAATTATAGATGATTTTTGTTTTTGTATTTTCATTATGGGATAGTTGACAATACTAATTATTGATTTTTATTATTCTATGATATATAAACATAATAAAATTATAACGCGTGTTCACTTTTCTGTTTATCGTAAATAAAATATTATATAGAGATAAATGAATACATGATATGATTTTCATTATATCTCAATTTAAAAATTCGCTAGTTTACAAAATATAATGAAAGATTTTATCTGATGACAAAAAAAAGAAGTTGAATTCGATGAATTTTCGTCTATCAGTATAAACCATTGATATCAAGTCGAATTATTTTCATAGAGGATTGATATTTAATTCTGTTACATAATTAAATGATAAAATTTAATAAAAATTATTCTTTTTCAATCAATAGATTAATCTTGAATAGACAAATATTGATAATATAAATCATTGGTATAGAATGACTATATTAAATCATACAGTGAATATATCTATTATCTCATCTATAATAGTTGTCAAGTTATATTGAATTTGATAGGTTTCTTCTTTTATTCTAACATTTTATTCAAAAATCTTTTTTTAGGCTTAAATTGTTCTGGTATCTTTTTTAAACGAAAAAGAACATTTAAAATGAAACCAAAAGAAAAAGAAATACTTGAATAAAAATTAAACTTCTAACTTGTAGTTCATGTCACCTCTATTGTATGATAAATTTATTGTACTTTTTCTCTTAATATTCTTTCCTTTTCTTTTAGCTTGTTCTGTTTTTTTTTCATCGGTGAGATTCAGTTTATCACCCACATACTCGTCATTTAATATCAAGATTTGCGTTTTATTACCTTGTTAAAATAAAGTAGACAACAACAATATCGCACAACTAGTCTAGTACTTTTTATTTATTGATAATGATTAAGATGGATCGATTTCTAAGTATATTTCAATTGTTAGTCATTTTTGGTTTATTTTTCTCTTTTATTAATGGACAAAATAACCAAATTAAAGTAAGTTATTTTTATGAGAAAGAAAAATGTTTTTCTACGAAAATAAGTTTATTTAAGTGTTGGTCTTCATCAACAGTATATAAAATTTCCTCTCTTAATGATAATAATACTAATTGGGAAATTAATTCTACTGAAATAGAACTTGTAAAAGAATGTCATCTATCATTTGTACAAAAAATTACTAATAAGGCATGTTCTGCATTAGCAATTTCATCTTTGAGACAACCATCATTTGCACAAAGTAAGACAATGATTTTTAATGAAGTCGTCTTTTTTTTTGTTGTTGTAATGATATATATTTTTTAATGTTTAGAATATGGTTATGGATTTTTAGCAGTTTTTATCATAAGTGCTCTTTCATTAGCTGGTTTTATAGCATTTCCATTAATGAAAAAACCTTATTATAAATATTTAAATGCTTTTTTTACTGCACTTGCTGTTGGAACGCTTTTTGCTGATACTGCATTTGAACTATTACCTGTCGTATGTATTTTTCAAATTTGTTTTTCTTTTTTACATATTTCTTTTGATTTTTCTTTTATATATAAAAGATTATTGAATATGGTTTAACATCATCTCACCTACATCAACATGGTCGATTAATAGTAAATGAACAATTGAGTGGAAAAATACAAATACCTATTTTTCTTTGGCAAATGGTTATTCTTGTTCTTAGTAAGTAATGCTTTTAATTGTACTTAAAATACTCTCTTTCAACATAGCTGCTTATGTATTTTATGTTATTGAACTTATCATACACGCTTTCATGCATCATCGACATCATCATGCAAAAGTATGTATACATAGTTTGATTGATACTTGTTTTAATGTAGTGTGAAGCAAACCATTGATGTAGTTATTCGAAAGCTTTTTTTTCTTCTTTTTAATGCAGTGTAAAGTACAGTATTTATGTAGATCAACGCGAATATAAGGTGCAACGTCTCTATATAGTGACTTGTAGTAAATTCTTTCTTTCTTTCTTTCTTTCTTCCTTTCTTTCTTTCTTTCTAGACGTACACATCAAAAGTTGCCATGTAGTATAGTGATAATGTCATGAATAAAATGTCAAATAATATTCGTTCGAACAAAAGATGAAAAACATTAAGACCGAATTGACATCGTCCGTTTTTGTAATCTTTAGCATGAAATGCTGTTTGTTTACAGAGAGTTCTACGAAAAAGCAATTTTTTGTGAATGGTTTTTCTTTCTTTCAATATTCGCGAGATTACGAAAATGAAGACAGCAATAGAAGTTAGTCACTATTCTCATTGACCAAATGATTTTATATATGATAGTTGTGAATGCAGATGATGATGATAGATATTGAATTAGAGAATCAAATGATCGATTGATAGTGCTCATTAGGAATATGTTGATAATTCAGTTCTGTTACTAATGAATTTCGCAAGGATGACTTTTCACTTTCTGACTTCGATCAATTCACTGATCGAAATGTAGCTTCTCCAATTATAACGACAAAAAATAATTTCATGCAATTAAACTTTCGAAAAACGCATTTCGTCCTAAATCGCGCAGAACGAGTGTTCGTTTTTTTTTATGAGATGTCAATTTTCCGCATAACGAAATTCGAACTTTCTCAGTGCTATTTGCAGTCGAATGACACTCGAATGATATCTAGTTTTTGTATGATAATCTGAAGGGACATAACTCAGCACTCAAGACGAAGTGATTGAATCTCGGAAAGAGGGGTTGTATATGGACAATTTTCAGAAGTAAGGACAAGGGTTGGGTGTTATGTGGACAAATTTCAGAAGTAGAAAAGCGTCATGCTCTTGAAGAACTAGATAAGCAGAATATGTATCGATTTCGAAAATTAGAAGTTAATCTGAATAGAATAGTTTTAACTTTTTAAACTATGTTTTTTTTTCTATTGTTCATCATCAATAGGATTCATATGGTCTTAATGAATTTTCAACACCTGAAAGGAGTGAATTACCGAGTGAAACATTATCAAAATCAAATGGTAATCTTCCAACTATTTCTACTAATACTTTACCTAATTTGACTATAGCGGCTGACGAACGACAAACAAAAAGTAAGAATAATTCAATAAAATCATTATTATGAAAGTTCTGTTCTTTTTTTTAAATCTTATATAGGTACCGGTTGGATGATAATTATTGGTGATGGTATTCATAATGTAGCTGATGGTCTTGCTATTGGAGCAGCTTTTTCTGAAAATATTATGTTTGGTGTGACAACAGCAGTTGCTATTGCATGTCATGAACTACCAACTGAACTTGGTTTGTTTATGATTATTTTTAAGTCATTATCTCAACTTTTATTCTAATTTAAAAGGTGAATATATGGTTTTAATTGAATCAGGTTTTACACTTCGTCGAGCACTTCTTTTCAATTTTATTTCGGCTTGTACAGCTATTATTGGCTTTTTTATCGGAGCTAGTGCCGCTCAAAATGAAGCTGCTCGTACATGGATTTTTGCTATTACTGCTGGTACATTTGCTTATATTGCACTGGTTGATTTAGTAAGCTAATTTTTATTATTCTTTTCATTAATGATAATAATATTTTATTGATTATTTTCTAGTGGCCAACATTGATGCCTCGCACAACTAAATTTGATTGGATTCGATTTATTTGTGTTACGTTCGGATATTTATCAGGTGTTTTAATTATGTTTATTTTAACTATCTTTGAAGAACAAATTGTAAGGTCAACAGGAGGAAATTAAAAACCTGTGATATTGATTTTTTTTCCTAAATAAGTACATATTCAATAAATAGAATTTAGATCATATTATTCATTAATTGACATTTTATTAAAAGGTTTTGTAATTCGTATTATCATAAAAGCAATTATAGATTTATTTTTGTTGATCGTATAAGAAAAGAATGTTTCTGACATGCATAACAAGTTTATTTGATTCTATTTAGAACATATAAAAAAAAACGATCAAATATTTCGGTTTATAGATATTCAGATGCCTTTAATAGAAGAGTTAGTATATTATGGCCTATTCTCAACGTGAAAAAGATGTATGACTCCAGTATTTCGAAGTGGAAATGAAATGTTGAAGTCGTGATTTTTGTCTCTTACCTATTCTTGATCATAAATTCGCATCTGTCGTGTAAAAACTTCAAATCGTTATACAACTCAATATAGTAATCGTGGTTCTATATGGTGATATAAAGGCACGTATTATCAGAGTCGATATCATTTAGAATTCTGCTAATATACATGCCCACAATTATGACTTCAACGAACGACACATTTGACAGAAAATATCAATCGATCATAATGAATAATGCAGTTATGTTTTCCATGTTCTTTGTAGGATCAGATATTCACAGAGATCTTTTTTTCTTTTCTTACAAAAATGAATTCTTTCATTTTCTATTCTAAATGAGTAAGATAATTACCAAAAACGCTCTAGAATTCATAGATCGTATCTGATAAATTGGTGATTTTCTAAAGAATTTTTCTTCATTAACAAGCCTAAGAAATGCGTTATTCTTTCTTTTTAGACAACATTTTATTACTTTTAGCTTTTTTTAAAGTCATGTGGTATCTTATTCTGTACACTCTATTCAAAAGATATCACGCTTATCATCAAAACATTGCCGTTAAACATGAAGTTTTCAATGTTTTATCTTAGTGGTCAAACAAAGTCAAAAAAGAACAGAATTCAGTATTTTCTATATATTACATTTTATTCGATGTCTAGGATTAATATGAATTGATTTACAAAATCAGTTTGTTTATGATTTATTTATGGTCTATATTTAGTCCACATAAATGCAGAAGCAAAAAACAAAACCCATCAACTGAGTAAAAACTTTTCGGCTCATATTCTGGTCATAAATAGGACTTAATGAGACTGGAGGAAGTCAGAAAGGATTTATCCCGATTAGCCTATTTGGTTGATATTGACTTTCCAAGTTTAGAACCAAAAGCGTAGATAAACTGTTTCTTGTGCTTGAATTAAAATATTGTAACATTTCAAAAGAAAAATTTCTTTTTGAGATACTTATAGGTAAAACATCAAGCTGTTGTAAAAAT